GGAGCACAGTGGGGTGGAGCTTTATAAGATCTGAGTGCAGGGTACCCAGAGAAGAAATATAATCACCGCACACACTCAACCTCCTAGATTTTCTTCGGTGAGAAAAAGCAGCCAGAGCTGATAGAAATTTCTTAATAATTGCATGCGACATCAGATTCCTTGAAGTAATGAGAATATTTTAAAGGTCTCTTTTCTGCTTAGGATTCACTTTAGTTCAGGGCTTTTTTCAGTTTTTTGAAATATATGACAGAGAAATAACCATGAAATCCTGGAAAGGCTTTTTTCTGTAGAATGGAATTACAATGATAAAATGAAAATTGGAGTCATTGCTTTGAAATCAACAAAATTGCCCATAACTGTGGGACTCTGAAGACTACTTTCTGCTTTGTAAGCTTTATTAAATAGGCTATATTTGTGATTATAACTGAAAGTGTTCACTCTTCAGACCAGCACAATGGAGTACATACTTCTTGTCTTATATTTCTCTTTTTTTATCTGTCTGTGTGCTCTGGTGTGCCTATATTTTTCTGGCTGCCAGGAAATGACTTATAAACATGAAGGTAAGAAGCTATAAATTAATAGCTGATTTGTTCTAATTACAGTGTAATTCAGTTCATTATGATTTAGCCACTTCTCCTGTTTTGATTAATCACTTGAAAATAATATGTGATACTTAAATCATGTGGGAAGATGAAGCTACTGCAGCTATACAGAAATTAGATGGTTCATATGCATGTAGACCTATCTAATTCAATTAAATGTAGTACTAAAATAGATGTAGATATTTGTATGCAATATCGTCTATATATTTCAAGGCACAGACTCTGCATCATAAATTATGTCAACATTAACCAAATTGACTAGTTTTGACTCAACGGGAATCACCACTAATATACAGAATATTTTGTAGATCTTCATGTTCTGAAAATATATTTACTCTGTCACAAGTCCTATTGATCTTCTAAACATTAATTGCAAAAATGTAATGCACAATTATACTGTAAAAGTATGTGTGAAAACATTGGTATAGAAATCCAAAATTGCATCCTAATTTCCACCAGTTATTGCCAAATATTTCAGATTTTACTTCTGCATATTTTCAGTTATTGATATGAACATTTTACTCTGATAGTTATGATCTAAACTTTAGGATTGAATATCTTTACATAAAAATAACACCTTTAATTAACAACCTTCTAGAATTACAAACAGTATATACAAATATAATTTCAAGAGTTTTACACATTTTAAGAAAAATTCTGACATAAATAGTATAGCTAAAAAGAGCAAGCAGAATAGTAAAAGCCACATTAGAATACATATATTTTAGAAATCTATTTTAAATCAGTTTTTTGAATTAATAAGTACGATCTTCCATGATCTGTGTGTGTGTGTGTGTGTGTGTGTGTGTATATATATGTATAGTTTACCATAGTATTTATTATCAGGTAGTAAAATTTTCTTAACACTTTATCAACTTTGTGTCAACTGTCTCTTTGATTTTTTTTTTTTCCCCTCTAGCTGTTTTCCAGTCAGTTAATTTGTTGTGTGTTGGATATGAATCCATTTTTATAGCCAATTGCTACAAATATTAGATTATCACACTGGCAACAATAAATAGTTAATAATGTGAATGACAATTATGTGATTATCTCATGATGTAATTCATAAATATGCAATTAATGTGCAATGGCTAAATACTACATTGTGTCCCAGTATGTAATCAATGCAAAAACAAACAGGCAAATTCACCATTGAGGCATAGTAATTAGCAGTGTTTATAAAAAGTAAATGAAACAGATTCACTCTAAACCCAAAATATTATACACAAGTATGTGTAGAATTTAGCTATCCTTAACTATCCTTGAAGATTTCGAGTGTCTCCGTGCTATGGGAAACATTAATTTCCCCTATCTAATTATCATTTACATTATTTATTAAAATGTGTAAATGTTTCCTGGAGGCCTGGTGCCAATGATGTGTTTAAATATGCTGAGTAACAAATATATCTGTATATTGATAGTTCAGTAGCTATTATTTTTAAATAATCCCTGTAATCAACAAGGCTCTCTTACATAAACCAAAAGGACCAATATTTTTTGTGTGTTTGTTTTTATTCCCTGAAAACACCTCTTCTTAAAGCACCAGGATTCAAGCTGAGTTATTTATAAAACTAGCTACGGTTTGTCTGAATATTTGCAAAGAACATTTCAATGTTGATGAACACTCTTTTTGTCCTGAGTTTAATGAAGCTACTGATGCTCCTGTAGGTATTGCTGGGTGTTTCTTCAGTGGTTCAGATACAGATTGTGCACCATGGTTTATTTGTTCTTTTCTAAAGGACTTGTAATGAAGGAAAACAAACTTTCTCTAAAGCTAAGGATTGTGAAGAATATGAATGCTAGGGGAAAGAATTAAAATTCTCGGATTAATTTCTGTTCCTAATGTCTTAAACATAGTTCTAACATATAACACAGAATAGTCCTAGTGCTTACTGAATAACTAAAAATAGCTGTGTACCTGAGCAGGTTTTAGTACTTAAATCCCTTTCCTTTTTGCCTCCCTCTGTATAGATTGGGTAGCAATTCCTAATGACCCAATCAATGGATTGGAAAGGGAAGGCTGATCTCTAGATATCTTTCAAGTGCATGGGTCTATATTTGTGGCCTCTGCAGAGTTGTGAAGAGTCCAGTCTTTATTCAGGTTTCTACTTTCTTTCAGTTTTTGAACTTTTTTCAACATGAACATAACATATTTGAAAGGGGATTTTTATACTAGAAACAATAGGCTCTTAATTCAGTCTGTGAATGAAAGTTTGAACTATTCTAAGGGTTTGTCTTCACAGCAACAGTTAGCTCAAGTTGCTCTGCTCAGGTCAGCCTAGCTCAAGTGAGAGTGGCAATGCTGCAAAACAATAACCCCTCACTCTTTATTGTGCTTTACATCAGTCTATTTCAAAACACTTTACAAAGGGCTCAGCATCACTGTCTCCATTTTACAAATGGGGAAACTGAGGAGCAGAGGTGACATGTCCAGTTCACCCAGCAGGCCAATGGCACAGCCAGGAATTGAACCCAGGTCACCTGTTCTCTATCCACTAGGCCATGCTGCCTGTCTCAACACTCATCCTACAGAGAATGGTTTGATTAGCAGCACAGAATGATTGGATTAGCAGTGGATGAGTTGTACTAACTTAAACTGTGGCCTGTATCCTCTCCTGCAACCGTTGATCTTCAGCCTATAGCCCCGAAACACCAGCTCGCTCAAGTTGAAAGCACCAGTTAGCTCAAGTTAGAGATATTTGTGTGTAGACGGGAGTTGAGTTAGGGGTAACACTCCAATCATGCCTCAAACCAACACTGCAATGAAGACAACCCTAAAATATTAGAATAGAAGTGATGAGAACATTGAGGTTATGTTCTTAGGCCTGTTGAAAGCAATAATACAGTTACAGAACAGTCTAGAGGCCTAAAGTAGAAGGGGACTATGTGCAGTCATTGTGATTAGAGATAGGGCATAGCTATTTGGTAGAATTAACTGTAATTGCATGTTGAAGAGAGATTAGTGGGTAAATTGTGAACTGTTAGGAGGGCTTGGTTTTGCTGGACTCTAGAACTTTCTGTAGGGTGAGCAGGACAGCTCATAACTCTATATAACGATGGCAAATTTTATCTTATTTTACACTTGGTGGTGTTGAATTCACTAGGTGACTGTTTGGCAAATTGTATCAAATCAGATAATTTTGGTTGGCAACCTATTTTTATTTTTTAAACTATTCTAAGCTAAGTGGTTGAGGAGATGCTGTAGTTTTTGCTTGTGAAGAATTCCAGAAATTTTGTGTATTGATTGATGTCAACTTTCAAATAATTTTGAAGAGTAAGCTTAACCTTAACAATTGAATGTTTAAATGATGCTTTTATTTTTGAAGCAGCAGAATTTTCTGCAGTGTCACTGTATTCTGAGCATGTATCAAGAAACTGAAGTAAGGGAAGGACAGAAAGATTGAAAATTTTAAGACCAGTTTACTTTTTTATCAGTCCTATAAAGGTTCATTGCAGTTATGACTTTTTATTTGTCTGCTGACGTTGGTAGCTGATCTAATATCTTTCATGATGAGTGTTACGTATACATTACTTGCCTATACCTTTTAATGTGGTTCTGTTATATTCTGTACCCATTAATTCAATGTTATGTTATCTGTGATTTAAAAATTTTTCATTGAAATATTAATTTTCACTAAAGATTAGTTTTCCTTAGACATGCTGGTATTTATTTTTTCTTTCTAGAGAATCCATTTTTCTCATTTTTAAAATGATAGTATTTCAGACAGATGAAGATATATGAACTGATATCTTCAAGTTGACAGCAATAATTTTGAAAAATAGATATTTTTAAGCTTTCTGATTTTTTTTAATGTTTTTATTAATAATGTGAATCACAAATGTCAATGAATAACTTTTTTGAATGCAATATACCCCTCTTCTAACACCCTCTTGTATGTTGCATCTCAATAGGTTGGTTACCTAATATCTCAAAACATGGATGATTTTCTGTGTGGTTAAGTGTATTTTATACTTGTGGTAGAGCATGACTGTATTTGGCAATTATCCAATGCAATGTGCAGCCTGATTTTTTGAAGCACTCGAGTAAAAGATGCCGAAAGGAATAATTTCTTTACCGGCATTCAAATGGTACATACACATGGAGGGAGCAACACTCTTCTTTCATCTCTTTTTCTAATGATTGTCTTCCCAGGCTCCCTCAGTTTGTTACCAGGGACTTAATCCTACAGTCCTTAGTAGGTTGATTGAAATCAACGGGACTGCTAAGGTGTCCCAACTTGAGCCTCTTGTCCTTGTGGGTAAGAATCAAAGCATCTTGGGAGTAAAGCCAGACTAGGGGTTACTGAAGACCTTTTTTGCTGTCTACTTGTCTATTTAACCAGGTTATAGATTATTACTGAATGTCCTATTAGTAACCTAGAAAAACTGACTTTTCAGAGGCATGTTGTGGAGACGTTTTTTGGATTTGACGAAGAATCTGTTGACTCTGAAACCTCATCTGTAACTTCGTATAACACGGACAAAACAGACAGAACGCCAGCAACACCAGAAGAAGACTTGGATGATGTAAGTAATGAAGTGTCTTCATAACAAAACATACAAAATGAATGGAAATATTTTTCCTATTTCTCTGTATTTCTGCATTTGCAACTTGAATAGTTGTTTTCAGTTAAGTAAAAGACTGGAAATAAGGTGTACATTTTTAACAGTAGGAGTAATTAACCATTGGAACAACTTAGCAAGAGTCATGGTGGATTCTCCATCACTGATCATTTTAAAATCAAGATTGGATGATTTCTAAAAAATATATTCTGGACTTATTTGGGGGAAGTTCTATGGCCTGTGTTGTGCAGATCAGACTAGATGATCACAGTGGTACCTTCTGGCCTTGAAATCTATGAAAAACACACTAATTTAGCTCAGCCATTGCAACCCAGCTAATAAATGACAGCATTAGGGTCTGTCTTCTTGATGAGTTCAGAGTTAATTAAATCAGACAAGGTAAATATCAGCAGTGCTTGAGAAATAGAATTCCTTTTATCACACTATCTCTTGCTTGTCAAAATAAGAAAATCAATGGGCACTTGCACTGACAAAATCCACGGCTGCTCCACAATAGCTGTTCCTAGAATATTATGATTTATGTGACTATTTTGGTACTGTCAGGTCCTTCTCACTATCACTAGCTTTTGATATCGAGAGAAGTTTTGTCAATTTATTAAGGCTTGAATAGTAAATATATGTAGACATGTTTTTGCTGGACCTGTATGTTATGCACTGCAACCGGGCTACAGTAAGGAACAGCAAGGCCTAAGACAAGATGTAAAATCAAGGTCTCCCTATGCTGTTTACTAACTCGTATGTTCTACCCTTCAGTTACACCCTCTCTATCTTATACTCATGTCCTCATCTCCCCTACTCTACCCAGCTTATTTTATTGTTATTTGGGGGTTGCTAACCCTTGTGATTTTTATTGAGTCTCATGATATTGTTTGGGGTTTTCTTTCTTGGAGCCCCAGTTCCTGAAGTCAGGAGAATCTCCGCTTTCATTTAAAAAAAAATTCTAGCCCTCATGATTGTGGAGAAAAGTTTGAAAATATGAAACTCAGAAGGCAAATGAAAAGACCCCAATGTTTACTATTTTAAAAGAAATCTTAATGATTTTTAAGCCAATTTCATGATTTGGGGGAATGACGTATGTTTTTTGCATGCCTGGAGTTGGCAATACTGTTGTTTTACTTAGAGCTCTGTAACCAGTATACAACTTTTTGCTCATCATCCTGTATTTAAATTACTTTGCCCCCAAACCCTGAGGTTAGGTGACTGAGAGAAGCAGGTGTGCATCTCTCTGTCCATGTGCACACGGTCCATGGTGTTGAGCAGCGAGGTCCAATGTGGGTCCTTCAAAATTATGGCCCTTTTTGTCAGTGAATAAAATTGTGCAGAGTCATATTCTCTCTCATCCCTCCCCATCAGTCTGTGTTCCTTCTCTCTTTCACACCCTATCACTCCCTCCCTCACTCACATGTCTTGCCTCAGTTCTCTCATTAGCCATTCACTCTCTGCCCGCCTTTCACACAAATGCTGTCCATTCAGCACTCTTAACTTTCACTGTCCCCTGTTCTCTCTCTCTTCCTATACATACTGTTCCTCACTTTTTCTGTCAAGCCAATTTATGCTGCACTCAAATTCTAAACATAAACACAGGGAACTCTTCATTTTTCTCTCCACCCCAATGTCCGCTTTCCTCTAATCTCTGCTAGCATTTTAAGGCCACATCAAACTTTGGGAATCTGTAAGGTTCTCTTCCTGCATTTCTGTTTCTTTTGTTTGTATTCTTTCTTGCTGTTCTCTTCCCCCACCCCATCGCCCACTTCTCCAACTCAAAATTTGTCATTCAGAACCCAAGGTGATGCAAGAATGAGAGCTAATTGGAGCGAGGGACTTTTCTCTCCTCATTTCCTCTAGGGTTCTTGGAGTTCTTTCTCAGGTCTAAGGTAGGGATAGTGTCCTGCAGATTGAGCTAGCAGCATCGGGTGCCAGGCTCTGCCCCAGGGACAGCTCTTAGGGATTAGGGTCTGCCAGTGGGGGGAAGAGTCATCAGTGCTGTAGGAGGAAGATTTGTGCTGTCCTTTATATCTTTATATACATGAGTTTGGAAGCAGCAGTTTAACGAACTTTCGTACTCTGGCTGTTAGAGTCTTTGGCCCTTTTGTAAGCCTGGGTCCTGCATAAAGTTCTTGACTGTCCTTTTTGCTCCCTCCCAGCAATTCTACCTACCAATATCTTTACAGAAATGGATGGATATTTTACATTTTCCACTAGCTACTGTATAATCTCTGAGCTGCAAAGAGAGCTTAATGTTTGAAGCAACAGAAGATAATATACTGTTTTGCTTTTCTATTCTTTTAAGAGTACGCCTAAAGAAGAAGCTGATTTAAGGTTCTGTCAACTAACCAGAGAATATCAAGCTTTACAAAGAGCATATGCATTACTTCAAGAGCAAGTTGGTGGGACACTGGATGCAGAGAGAGAAGCAAGGGTAAACAATTTTTATTGAAACTTCTCAGAAATCTGATCTCTCTCATGCTAATTGTGCCTTTGCAGGTCAGTGGACTGCATGCAGTAAATGTATTACATACTTTTGAGGATTAGATATTATAGTGAAATATTTGTTCTAGATTTATCAGACCTGTATGGAAAGAAGGTTTCAAAATGCATCTTATTCTGACTTTTTTTTTTTATCACACACATAGTGGATTAAAGTAGCCCTGTATTTAAGTAATGCTTTCTAATTCAAAAAGACAGTCCAACAGAAATTGCACGTGGCTGCTAAAACAATGGATTTAAGAAAAATCAATGATCAGATTACAATAAATATTTGTGTCAGACAAGTAAACAAAGAGCCTGAAACAAATCTGGCGGGAAAATCTTTCCCTTCGGGCATTTAGTAGGATAAATGAAAGGCTGTATATTCCCCCAGTTCTATGCCATCCCCTCATGCCCAGCAAATGGGGGAAGGCCAGAACACTGTTGTGCCCTAGTGGTTACTGACCACTTGAACGGCTCCTTGGGGACCTAGGCAAAATCTAAGTTGTGCTACAGACCAAGTGGGCCTCCCAGTGGCCGTAGGATCAGTGAGCTGGAAAGGTGACCCTTTGCCTCATTCCACCAGTCCTGCACCAAGCACAGCTCGGCCTGGACCTAAAACTTGAATTGGTATCCTCTGGTAAATTACTTCAGATGCAGGGCCACATGAAGACTTGGTAAAAGTGTGTGCTACATCACTGGCTTCCATCTGACAAAGCAAGGGGTTTTATATTCACACACATATAATCTTTTCGCTTCCCCTACTGCTAAGCATTGTCTTATTGATCAGTCCAAAAAATCCTTTCTGGTTTCAAAATGCTCTTGAAAATGATTTCTTGGAGTCTCCTGTGTCTGCGAAGTTTTCTGGATCACTCCATTCTTTTCCTGCTTGACATCACCCATTCTCGCTCTCAAGACAAAAGGCACCATTTTTCTGACTGAGATGAACTAATATAAACTTCTTCCCCTCCAGGACACTACATCTCAAGCATTTTCAGTTCTTGCCAGTCCACCGAGGAAGAGATCTGACTGGAGTAAAATGCATAGCAGTGCAGTATCACTCTGCTCATTAACTGATTTTTCACATCCTACATATGAGTTGTTTGTAATTGGATGTGAAACTCTGGAGGATTAGAAATACCTAGTTCCAGCCCCAAGCATGATTAATTGGCGATCTAGTAGTGGGCATGGGGGATTTAAAGAGCACCTTGTTTGTCCATCTGTGCCTTGCTTTACACAGAATCCATTTCTCAGAGTCTCTGCATGTGCCATTTGCTATGCCATACTGCCTAGTAGAACTTCTCAGAAATTTTTCACATAACATTTTCTTGTCAAAATTTGCCGATTGTCAAAATCTAAACATTTTGCAGGAACGTCTAGGTTTTGTTGAAATTAAGACTTAAGGCTATGTTTTAGTCACGGGTATTTTTAGTAAAAGTCACGGACAGGTGACAGGCTGTGAACAAAAATTCACGGCCTGTGACCTGTCCATAACTTTTACTATATACCCCTGACTAAAACTGTGGGGGAGGGGGGGCAGCAGCGCACGGCATGGGACTCCCGCTGATGCTGGGGAGGGGTTGGCGGATTGGGGGGGCTGGCAGGCTCGTTACCGAGCTTCATGCCTCCCCTCCAGCAGCAGAGTTTGGCTATGGGAGGGGGTTGGGACACAGGATGGCGTGAGGCATGCTCTGGGTGGTGCTTACCTGGGGGGCTCCCTGAAAGTGGCGACATCCTCCTCGCTCAGCCTGCTAGGTAGAGGCGTGGCCACCTCCGCCTGCTGGCACCGCCTCCGTAGCTCCCATTGGCCGCAGTTCCCGGACAATGGGAGCTGCGAAGCCAGCACTCTGGGTGGAGGCAGCGCACAGAGCTGCCTGGCCACGCCTCTGCTTAGCAGCTGAGTGAAGGGGATGTCGCCGCTTCCAGGGAGACCCCCAGGTAAGCGCCGCCCAGAGCCTGCCTCACCCTGTCCCATGCCCCAACCTCCTGCTCCCTCCCACATCCAAACTCTGCTGCTGCTTGGGGGAGGAAGGCGCGGTGGCCTGAGACTGCCCCAGCAGTGGCCGGTGCATCTGGTACAGGGGCTGCCTGAACTGCCCCTGAGCCAAGTGCACTGGCCACTGCAGAAGTCACGGAAAGTCACAGACAAACCCTCAGCCTTAATTATAAGGAAATCAGGAGGGCTGAGAAACCTTTCCTGCATCCTTGGCAACCTGCCTGGTGGGCTGCAGGGGAACCCAGGCTCCCAAGCAACTTTAACTCTGCCATTCAATAATGATTAACACATATTAATAATCCTACTTAGCTTTTATATAGTATTTTGCAGAGCTTTTTGAGACCAACTGATAAAAAGGAGGCCAGTATCATTATCACCATTTTGCAGATGGGGAAACTGAGGTACAGAGAAACAGAGAGACAAAATAAACTTGTCCATGGTCACCCAGTAGGCCAGTGGTCACAATGGGGATAGAACCTGCATCTCCTGAGTCCTAGTACAGAACTTTATCTAGGAGGCCATACCAACTTCCTATGTTTATAGTCCCAGATCAGATTAAACTGATTTTTACAGGTGCATTTGATTGTTTCCTATTATTTTTCCTCGTTGTGTCCATTGACTTTGAACATTACTCTTAACGTTCATAGTCAGAGCCTCTAAAATTTATGATGGTATATAGGAGAGTCGAAGAATAGATCATGAAAATATTCCACCTTCTAAAACTAATAAGTGGCATTTTAGTTTAAATAAGAAAATAAGTCTTCCCTTGCACATCTGCTGTCAATTTCTGCCTTTAGTTTGTGCCCTTGCTGTTGGGCACAGTGGATTGCTAACATAATGCCAGTCATGCAGCTCTTAATCACATAATCGTGGCTGGCTTTCATTTTTGTCCCCAGGATGAGGAAAGAAGTTATTTTTATTTCTTTAAAAAGGACATAATTACATATTTTATTAAAGTAAGATTTCTCAGGCATTTATGTATTTGACAGTTATATAACACCATTAAATGTTTTTCTCTGTGTTAGAGGGAGAGGGAGGCGTTGGGGATTATTTTTTTCTGTAATAGCATTTTAGACATTTGGAGAAATGCACTTTTACTCTTTCTACCCTATGGCCTAGCTGGCTTTTTTATCTCTTTAACAGCTGACTGGTCTAGAAGGTTTTCAATTGGTTATGTCTTAGGGGGCCCAATTCTGGGAGGTAGCGAATGTCCCCAACATCTATTAGGTGAAATTGAGTGTGTTCAGCAAGGGCCTGATCCTGTTCGTTACCAAGGGCCAGATTTATAAAGGTATTTAGATGCCTAGAAATGCAGGTAGGTGCACAGTGGAATTTTTAAAAGTGCCTAATAGGGATTTTGAAAATCCCACTAGACACCTACCTGCATCTCTAGGCGCCAAACTACCTTTACAATTCTGGCCTACGTGCCTCTATTCGTCCTTTAGGAATGAGGGCCTCAGTACTTTGCAGGAGGTGCTCAGCGCCCCATATGTTCAAGCCCCAATTGGGGATGCTTTGCAGTTGAAGTAACTCAACATCCATAAGGGAAGTACTTATCTTGAAGGATTGAGACCATATAAATAAAACTGACTGGCTTGTCAGTGGCATATGGCATGAATTCTTATTTTTGGATGGTATGCAGTATTCAGGTACAATGAGCTGTATTTAAGTTGTTCATCATATACATTTTACTCACAGCAGACTTATTTAGTACTTATTGCAATTCTTTTTTTTTTTTTTTAAGTATCCTGATTAAATACCAAGTATTGTAAACAGCATCATTACTGGCTTTATGTTACTGAATTTTAGAAAGTGCTTTGCCACTGAAAACATCAGATTAGTGTTTCTTAGTTTATGAAGGAAAAGAGTTGTGTGGAAATGAATGAGGTAAATATTTTATCAAATAAAATGCAAATAAACATGTTTGTTTTAATTGAAAACAATTCAAGTTCACCTCACTGGCTGATAATGGACAGGATGTATTGAACATATCAATATTTGATTCTGCAGTAATTGAATATTTGAGCATATGGAGCTACATATGAAGTGTACATCCTAATCACTTGGCCATTGTGACAGTATATGCACACTTTTATACCTTTTCAGACTCGTGAACAACTGCAAGCTGATCTCCTCAGGTACCAGGCGAAAATTGAAGATCTGGAGAAATCTCTGATTGAAAAAGGACAGGTAAAAGGCTCCCTTAATGCCCTCTGTCAAATCATCTTCTCCCTTGCATGCAGCAGTGCTCTTGTCATCTTCATTGCTTGCTGGTGTATTCATGTGTCTGATGCAACTTAGTTACCATTCCACCAGTTGGACCATCTGATTAAAGGAAAAAAATCCTATTGAAGATTCGTCTTCCAAAACAAAATATGCTAATGTCTGCATGCACCTGGTTGTTAAAATCGGTTCCCTTTTCTTGCCCAGCCCAGGCCCTTCTCCTTCCTCTGGTTTTCTGCTTTCACTGGAAAAGTTTTGGCCATAATTTTAACAAAATGAATGTTATGAATTTCCCATGGAGACCATTTTTGGTGCACTGGCTGGAAGAATTATAAATTGTTACTGCCACACACATTTCAGCTGGAAAAATGAACCACTGAATGTGTGTTTGATTACTAGGAGCTGCTTTCAATATTTGATCCACATCACTTAAATTGAAATTGGGACCTAGATCTAAATGGAGCTTTTTGGCAGTACTTAGCAAGGATAAATCCTGGCTCTTGGCAAATATAGTGTTCAGGATCTTCAGGGAAATAGCACAGAACTATGATTGTGCACTTTAAAGATGTTCAGTTGCATAACTATAAGTACCTCTTCAGAATTTTTTGGATGCATTATTTTTATACCGTGTTTATTGTTGAAAAATTCATTTAAAATTGAAGTGATGCATAGTAATAAGATGAAACATAGAGATATATCCAAAAGTAAATGTGTGAAAGATGAATAAAACATAACGTTAATATACTAATATTTCATAAACCTTCTTATTTAAAGTTCACTTCATTTTATAATGATTTATTCTATGCAAGATGTATTCCTTTAGAATGCTGCATGAGTACAAAGAAACCATTTACCAAATTAAGGAGAATATAAACAATAGTGTTAGCTTGCCCATAAGCGCCAAGGTTCTTAGTAATGCTGTGTAAATAAAGTGTGTGTGTGTGTATGTGTGTAAAATAAAATAAAACAAAACAACAGAATTGGGCAGTAGGTTATAAAATCTAAAATCTTCCAAGTCCCTGAGGTCTCCCAAGAGTAAATAAACTTGTAAGGACTACCTCCTCTTGAGGCTCTACTGTTGTCACTTTAGTATATTAGTAAATAAAGCTACTGGTATTGAAGACAAATTGCTGCATACCTAACGCATTAACAAACTATTTGACTATGAAGATGTAAAGTCTAAACACTATGCATGTAAATTAGATCCGAGTGAACATGAATATATATGTAAAAAAATTAAATTTTGTGACTTGTTTCCAAATTGATGTATATAACAGGTTTGCTTGGAAATTAGGTTTGATCATTTTTTCCCTTTTAAGATTCTTAACCACACTACACTGTTTATCACCCAGTAATCCAGAGAAATTAAATGTGCAAGTGGTGGTGGTATTGTGCAATAAAAAAAATTGTCTCTGTGGCTTTGTATGTAAACTAAGCCTTAAAACTTCATCAGAAATCACTCCTGGGAGCTCTGACAAATCCACATCTGCTTACTGGTTAGTTATACGGTAACACTAAATTGTTAGAACCTATATTTGACAAAATAAATTTCTATTTGAAACAAACTCACTTTCTGTGCACAATGTGATTTTTTAAATTGTTATTTAGTTTGGGATAATTATTATTTAGTAGTAAATATGAACTGTTCACTCTAAGGTGAGGCAGTCCTCTCTAATGCTTAGAGCAGGGCACTATGAATCAAGTGACAGATTTTAAAAAATGGTGTCTAAAGATTATCATCTTTATTTTTCAGCTAGGGAAACCGAGGTAGAGAGCATCTACATGACTTTTCTAAAGTTAAACATGCAGACAGTAAAAAAGTCAAGATCAGAAATCTGGGCCAAGATTTTCAAAAATAGGTGCCTCACATTAGGCTCCCAAATCTATATTTAGATGGCTAAATAAGTGATCCCATTTTCAAATGTGCCAAAGGCTCTCATTAACCTCATTTGAGCTCTTTTTGCCGATGTTTCCTTCTATGTGAAATAGGAATAATGATAATTATTTACCTCTGTACAGTACTTCGAGGGTCCTGTATGAAAGGCACTACAGTCAGTGAAAAGGGTTATCTATCATTTAATAATAATAATAAATAATAACATCACGTCTCAAAAATATTAAACAACATAAGGCCCTGGAAAGAGATACATAGGGACCCAATCCTGTTAAGTGCTGAGCACCCTCAGTTTCCACTGAAATCAAGATCAGATCCCAAATAGCCAAGTTTTGAAAGGACCTTGTTTGTCACACAAAATGAAACTTTTAGCAGAGGAAATCCCCATATCAGGCATGTGTTTCATTGTAGATCAAAATAGTCGAACTTGCAGATGGAAAATACGTGCAAAGCAGACTGGAAAGAAAACTGGCCCCTCAGCATGTTAACAGATGGGGGTGTTCACCTAAGTCTCTAAATGCATGGAGTTCTTTCCTGTGTGCTTTGCAGGCCAAAACTGGAGAATGACACTTGCCACTGCATTTCTCCCTTCCTCTGAGCATCGCTGAATGCTTTTTAAAAGTTAACGTTTAAATTGCATTTCTCCACCATTGACCTTGTCCTTTTAATTCTAGTTAATGCATCGTAACTCTTTCCTGGCCTTTTAAGCATTCAGTCTAGAAAATTCTTTTGAAACAAATCAAAACAATCCTCCGTCTCTCAAAGAAGTAACCTCTCCATGAAAATAAATGTGAACGTTTCCAGTCTTGTGTCTGTGGGGGCAATGCAAAATTAGTAAATGCCCTAAAATAACTGATCATTTTATTTTGTGTCAATAGTTAAAAAATCGCTGTGAAATGTGTCTGCAAAGGCTCATTGATGTAAATAGTTATTGCATCAACATGATTTGGGCTGAGATTTTAAAGCAGCTTTGGACTTCTCTTGCCCGGCTCTCATTCATTTCTACTGGGTATTGCGTGTCCGAATCCCTTGCCATTTTAGGAAATCTCAGCCATAACACTGAACTAGACCTATTTTAGATTTCAGATCAATTTCTCCTGTCGTTAGATAGAAAATTAATTGGTTGATTTGGAATAAGTGTGTCACTCATGTGAGTATTTGAAGTTATTGTTAGAGCAATATGGGCTTGATCTCGCAACAGTATTGAGCAGTGGTAGTACATTTTTGCAGGATTGGACCTTATGGTCCTGATCCAAAGTCCATTGGAGTCTATGGAAAGAGACTCGCTGATGTTGGTGAACTTTGGTTCAGGCCCCCATGTTATCAAGTGGAAATACAGATCTTTTAATGGGGAAGGTGGTCTTGTATGATTTCACCTGCCACCATCACCTTCCCTTTTATTCCACACCTGAAAGGCTGCACATCAGACTCATTTTCACTTCCAGCTGAGGACTGCTAACTGCAGGTCTCGGGACTCTAGTTGCACTACTTATGAATCATTAAATGCTTTCCTTCCACTTCCCCATAAGGGAATATATAAGGTAGCTAAAAGATCTACATTTTAAAGCAGAGCTACTGGGCAAGCTGCAACTCTTTGAGTGAAGGAGAAGGAACAATTTCCAATACCAGTAATATTAAACTAAGATGGGCAAATACGTGACAGCATATATGTTAAATTAACATTGACAACATTCCTCCAAAATTGTTAGAGGCTAACATTTAAAGTTTTAACTTTTGAATGATTAGGTTGAACAAAGTAGGAAAGAAGAAAACCAAACTAAAAAGAAGCAGGGATTTATTACTTTTTCATCAGTTTGGTAGCTATTCAATCCTTAAAATATTTACAACGGGTTTGCCCCTGAACCCATTTTATACTTGATTGTGCAGTAATGACTGAAATCATATACACCTCTACCCCGATATAACGTGACCCGATATAACACAAATTCCGATATAACGCGGTAAAGCAGTGCTCTGGGGGGGCAGGGCTGCGCGCTCCAGCGGATCAAAGCAAGTTCAATATAACGCGGTTTCACCTATAACGCGGTAAGATTTTTTGGCTCCCGAGGACAGCGTTATATCGAGGTAGAGGTGTAATTCTTATTACTGTACTGAGTTCTTTGTTGAAAAAATAGGTGTTGTTTTTTTTACATTTCTCCCACAGGATTCCAAATGGATAGAAGAAAAGCAGCTCCTTATCAGAACAAACCAGGAGTTGTTAGAAAAGGTATGTGTTCAGAATCTAGCTACTATCCAATCTCTACTCTTCAAAGGAAACTGATGTGCTAAGTGTTGAAGTGTTAAGGTAAAATTAACTTTTTTTTCCTGTCCAAAAAGTGTTACATTGAGAGCCTGAGATCAAAGCGCTCACAATTCTATAGCACTTTAGGGGGGAAAGGGCTATTATGAAATATATGTTTGTAAATTCTCTAGCTCAGTGAGGTGCAATCAGATTGAATTTCCACCACAATATAAATGTAAAGCAATAATAATAAAGGAATGGGAGCTGGGCTTTGCCAAAAAAAAAAAAAAGTATAGCAGAATTGGAGAAGAATCTCAGATTATGGTCAGTGCCACTTAATTTGTTCTCTATTTAATAGGATCACTTGGTTCTGCATTTTTAAAATCAAATTAAAACAAGTATTTCAAGCAATATTGATCACTTTAAATTGTATTATTTGATGTTTTAAAGAATAGAAAATTGCCTGAGATGCTGAGTGACTTCTTCTAGGTGCTGAATATCCTCCATGGATTTTAGTGAGAGAGTTGAGGGCACTCAGTACCTCAGAGAATGAGGCCTCTTAATTAGTGAGTTAAAATTATTAATTCAATAGAAATAAGAGAGCCAAAGAAAGATCCATGACTAAAGAACTACAGCTAGAATTATACTTTATTCAGACACTTTTATTGATGTTATAAGCACTGTCATATGCTATATTAGCTGTCATACACCCCCTTGTTTTCATATAAATAAGAAGGTCAGATAATAATAAGAATGCTTTTGGTTGGACTCAGGAAAAGGTTCTGTAATGCACTTGTGATATTCCATTTTGCTGTTGTTTAAATAGCCTACAGCCTCAAAGCACAACATTTGAGAATTATCATTAGGCCTGAGAGGAAATCTGATTTGACTGTAAAAAGTTAAGTACCTGATCCTGTAAGGTGTTGAGAGCACGCAGCACCTGCCAAGAGGAGGCCATAGGAAAGCAACATTATACTTTTTGCCCTGAGCACATCACTGAGAGCCAGGAAGTCCAGAATTGTAACAATGGCTCTCAATTTGCTGCATGGCTTTCAGCAAATTATGTAATCTTTCTGTGCTCAGTTGCTCCATCTGTAAAATGGAGGCTGTAAATACTTGCCTGCCAACCTCATAGGGGTGTTGTGAATGTTATTTTGTTAGTGTTGGGAAGCTTTTTGAAGATTTAAAGAACTAAGTGCAAGTACTATGACGTTAAAAAGTGGTGCAAAGTAAATATGAACAGACCGCTTGAGTTTAAATACTTGTCACTTCTAACCCAGTGTTATTGAGTGAGTTGTTAAAAGTAAGTTCATCATTCATTTTTTCCCCTTTAGTTGCAGTCTATACACAACTTCTGATATCTGCTTCCAAAATGGCTTTATGTAGACTTGTGTCAGGAAAGCTCCAGGCAAGGATAATCATTATCCACTCTCAGTGAGCAATTTGTGTCTATTCCTGAGCCAGTAAAGTGCTTCCTAATGTGATGCTCCTTCTTCATTCCCAAGACTTGGGGCCCAGCCATGCAACCATGTGGTCCTTCCTTGAAGTCAGTGAAAGTTTTGCCTTAGGCCCTGATCTTATAAACATTCACTTATGTGCTTAACTTTATGCACATGAGCAATCAAATCCACTCTAATGGTGATACTAAGACGCATAAAGTAAAGAACATGTATATATGTTTCCTGGATTCGGAAGTTGGTAAGGAATTTTGGGCCCCAAGTTTTTTTACTTACAGTTTAACTCTTGCTACTATTCTTTGCTGAGGATTTAATTTCTTCTTCTAAGCGTCGAGAATCAGTGCACTTAACTGAATACACAGCTTTTTCCATAGCTTAGTGTTATGATATTTTATTATATCTTAGATTTACAAAATGGAGCTGGAAGAGAATCTGCTGAAGAACGAGATGCAGGATGCAAAAGACCAGAATGAGCTGTTAGAATTCAGAGTGCTCGAACTTGAAGTAAGAGATTCTCTCAGTTGTAAACTCTCAAATGGAGCAGAAATTGTGTTTGAACCCAAGTTGAAATTCATGTAAAGTTCACTGGTGCATGTGTAAGGTGGAAATATTGTAGGTTTTTTTTAAATGCTGTAAGTTTGAATTCTGAAAATGAATACCACTGCCTTAATATGTTTTGGAGAGAATGCTCACTAATTTTTATGAAGATGTAAAATAGCTAATATATACTGCATATAGTTTGTTTTGCACCTAATAAAATATTTTGTTTTGCAATATTTTGCCTTTTTTATTTATTTCATTTCCATAACTACACCTTTCCTGCATGTGAAATCACTTGGTATGCATACTACAGACTTGGTTGGTTGGCATTGTTTCAATTAACACATCTTCTCACATCTTGCATGCAAGGAAGTCTGAGGATCTGACACCTCCATCACATCAACCTGTAATTGTTTTTAATTAAGCTGATTTTCAAATTGACAGCACTAATATAAATAAAACAAACTTAAAAGAGCACATTTTCTTAGCACATTTTTAAAAGAATTTCACTTACCTGAAGTCTCTTCTCCGCTGATATAGAACGTGGATGAGACATTCATAAATGTCAAAAAGTCAAATCTTACAACCAGAACTGCAAATTATAAGTGTGAGGCACAAATATAACTTGTGCAAGTGAAAGTAATGTGTTCTTCAGAGTAAGCTTCTTTCACAAATACTTTCCTTTGAGTAAATGGAATAATAGGCTATTTATTAAAGTAGTTCTAACATAGGGCCTATAATTTCCATGGGAACGGATGGTGCTCATCACCTCACAGATGGGACCATAGGGAATGGTATGCTAAACTTTTGCCATAATATGGGTGTGATGCATTGTCACACTGTCACATTAACTGATAACAGCATATCCAATTTGAAAAGGCCATCAACATTTTAACACCATTTACATTTTAGAATAAACTCTACAAAACACTGTGTTACCGTTCCATAATTTTCTTCATCCGGTTCATTTCACCAAAATCCTTGGCATGTATAACCTCCATGGTGAAGATGAAAATCTTATTTTCATCATGCTATGTGGTCATTCTGCTTTTAATCTTTGACTCTTCTTAAAATCTTTTATGTTACCATTTTATTTTACCATCTGTATAGTCTGATGTCCATAGCATGTAATACAGATTATGCATTTTGAGAGATTAGTGTCTGACTAGTCATTCTGGAAAATTAAAAATGCAAAGTAACTTGTATTCTGTATACTTTATTAAGCAACTTTAAATTAAAATACAGAACAAGTTAGGTAAAATTGGCAGCTAATTTAGCAACCAGTTTTCCAAAAGTTACGTATTTTTGGTAAAAGTAACCTGGTGCATATTACATCTTTAAAAATAAACTCTTCAAAGCATGTTTAGCATAAGAACGTCCTACATTTAACTAAAGAATCAAATGAAAACTGAACTGTACCACAGTACAGTGTGTTTATTCTCCTTGTTGAGTACCTATTTACTGAATAACAACTGAAGGATTTTCATGAAATTGCAAATAAAGCATGCAAAAGAAATCTCTCACTGGTGGACAAGGGCATAGGCACAAAAATTACAGAGTGATTGCTTTAGCAAAATTATGCAGCTGTTGGTGAAAGTATTTTCATGCATGGTGATAAACTAAACTCTTTCAGATGAAAATTAGGGTGGATTAGAAAACAGGGCCAATTGTCTATCATTTAGCCCAGGCAAATACTGACAAGTTTAATGTGCCAAAAGATTAAACTTAGATTTCATTTTAAATTAGGTCAATTCAGGATCGAATCCCTGCTTCTGTATATGTGTTATGTCATCAAGCTCACTTACTGGCATGGCTCTGTTTATAAATTGGACTAATAAGTAGAAAAAAAAACTTTTTAGGAGACAGTACATGGGAAGAAAGGTCATGTGAAACAGAGCCTTTCACCTCTCGGTTGCAGCTTCAAATTCATTAACCAACTCGTTATCCTTTGGTGACGTGTGAAATGACACCGTGGTTGCAGCCCTTTCCCCAAAGGAAAAGTGTCCATATCACAAATCAACTAACAAAATTTCCCTCATTTGTAGTTTTGGAAGCCAAACTGTGGACGGAATGGGCATGGAAACCGAACTGTCCCTTCACTACTACTTCTCTCTGCAGAACAGAGCCAAAGCTCTTCTGCAGGGAGTTGTGGGGAAGCATGTCTGCCCATGCTACCTCTGTTGTGTGAATAGGAGATGCGGGGTGATTTTAATCTCATTTACACTGATGTAATTCCATTGGTTTCAGCACAGTTACTCTTACTTAGAATAAGGCCTAGAGCTTCGGCTTCCAGATCTTTCAATCCAGCCACTTTCACAAGCACATTGAAATTTAACAAAAGACCCTCATTTGCTGAAAGTAGGAATACAGCTATTCCACTGAAATAATGGATCCGTATTTTGAAGGCGTGCCTGAATGGTGCTGAATATATTTTAAATTTATAATTTTAGAGAGAGTATACGTGAAAGGATTTCTTCTTGGCATAGAAAATGGTAAACGGAAAGTAGAATGTATTATACAAAACTGGGGCGAGTAGTGAATTGCTGGGCTTGAGGAATTAAAATGCTGAACTGTAAGGTTTAGCTAACTTCATTGCTGGTTTACTGTGGTTAACACTTAGCTTTATTACTGAAAATTTTCAGAACAAAAATGCATGTTATTTCAGAATAGACACAATCTCCTCAAGGTCATAATATGATTTGACACTGTTTGATATTTTGTTCTGTAGCCTCTTCACAATAGTCATCATTTGCTCATGAAAGCAATAGATTAAATAAAAGATTCCACCTAACATGAAATACTTTAGAGGAATGTCTAAGTCACCCATCCCTACAATTGGATCCATAAAAGTGGACCCGTGTATCCATGTAGAGCAATGTTGCAGAGGCTCTGCTTGCATGGATCCTATTGTCGAATCAGGACTTTAGTGCTCAAATTGCAACAAAACCTTAAAGGACACTGAAGAGCATGAAAACTTTGTGCTTTGACTGCAAATAGGGATCTATGGATTTCTTAATATCAGTAAATTTAGGTTTGTCTTGAATAACTTGGGGTAGTCGGAGAGAAACTGACATTATTGTATAATCACATATATTGTTTTTTAAACGAAATCTTTCCTCAGGAGAGAGAACGAAGGTCACCGGCATTTAACCTCCATATAACCACCTTCCCTGAAAACAATGGAAGTGCACTTCAACTGTTCTGTCAACAGGAAGGAATAAAGGTAGATGTGGCTTCATTAGCTCTTGCGATGGTTGGCTAACCAGGAGCATTATCAGAGACACCCCTGTACTCATATGAACACTTTAAATCATGGTTACCTTAGAAAGTACATCAATGATTCAGATGTAAGAAATATTTTTCTTCTGCAAAGACAAAGATATGATCAAGTTCTGAGAAAAGGCGGGTTTAGGATGAATAGCAGGGGAAAGAGGTCTCCTAGACTGCCAAGTATTCTTCCTCCAAAGGAAATGAAGGCCAGTCACTTGAGATATGTAGAAGTAGCTTAAGCTAAACTGTAAAAAATATACGGCAGGGAAGAACATAATTGTATGATATGATTAGTTGATTTGTCATATGGCTCCACATTTATTCAGTACTGAATGTACAGTTGCAGTCAGAAAAGTGGCACCTTTTCCATCATCGGTTACGATCCCTGTAATGTATTCAGGAGGACTGAATTCAGCAAAGCACTTAAGCACCTGCGTAAGTCCTATTGAAGTAATGTGTTTACGTTTTTTTGCTGAATCAGAGCCTTGGAGCGTAAGGAACATGATCCAAAGTCCATTCAACTCAATGGGACCTTTTCCCATTGATCTCGCCGCCTCCTGAATGAAGTCCACTTCTTGCTTATGGACACACAAAAAATCTTTGCGCTGAGACAAAGTTCAGGATCTATCAAACCTGTGTACTACTTATACTGCTATATGGGTCAGAAACCTGGCCCTTTTTACAGGCAGACTAGAGCAGCTAGAGGTATTCCTATATGTGCTGTGAGTGTCCAGTCCTAAGCAAAAAGTAGCTTAACTATGTGCAAAATGTCACCATCTCACCACAATCTGGCCTTCCTTCCTGGTGTTGCCTGTGGCACTACCCCTGAGATCCATGCATTTGCAGGATCGATCCAGATCTGGGAACTTCACTACACGATGCCTGGTGAGATGTCATCAACCATGGTCACTCTGACTGGTGCAACGGTCCTAGCAGACTTTGCATGTTTGATTTGACTTTATGTTCACTTCAGATCAGGTCCAAGATGAGCATATAATAAAATAAATAATCAACATCTATGCATTTTGTAAGTTTGAGGCAAGAGTAGCTAATGTGGCACAAAATTTGGGGTTCAATGTTGTCCTCTCAATGTGATTGCACAATATACAGATACAAAGCAGCATTTTTATATACTATAAGTAGTGAAAATAGTTGTATAAAACACAGTCCTGCAAAGTGCTTGACATTTCCCATGAGATGTAGAGCACTATCAGCTCCCCCTGACATCAATGGGAGTTGAGGGTTCTCAACTCCGTAAAGATTTGGGCATTCAGGGTTCATTACTGCTCCTGTTGTATCAGTGGAAGTTTTCCTATTGATTTCAATGAACAAGACTGGGTATCTAATAAGGAAGGTTTCTTTTGTTTCTTCTTTTGTGTGTCGTGGGAGTGTAGGAAGGAAGAGAGGAAGTAGGTTTTGGTTTTTTGTACAGAGAAAACTAGCTGCATGTGGGGTTTCAAAGGTAATCAATGGGCCTCAATAGGGATCAAAGTCACACTTCTTTGGTGGCTTCTGTAATCATGGGTAAGGCTTGTGGGACAGTTACTTACACTACTCCTGCCACTAGAAGTCCGATATGTGACCCTGTCATTGTGTTAAAACAAATTAAATTTAAAGATCATTAGTTATTAGTTACTTTATGGGCCAATTCATGCTCTCGTTAGCCACACACTAGTCCCACAAACGTCAATAGCCCAATCTGCTGCACGTTTTTTCTCCTCAAACCAGGTCTTTTTCTAAGCCTGTTACCCAATTTCAACATTTCAGTGAGTTGATAAATCTAAATGTGCTAAGACATATTCTGTCCTCGTTTATACCCAGGTTGCTGGATATAACTGAGAGTACTATCTGATCCACTGTAAACATAACAATAGCATTTGTGTCATTGGGTTGCAAAACTAACATTCAGCTTTTGGAGTCTTCTTGCATGCAAAGGTGCATAAAGGCCATGTAAAAAATTAGTAGCTAATGATGTGTTTTCTCCTTTATGAACAATGAATGTTAAAAATATTTTCCAGGATGTGAATATTTCTGAACTTATGAAGAAGCTTGATATCCTTGGAGATAATGGGGTAACAATTTCTTTATTTCAACTATTCCCATGGAATGGCATGCCAGCAAATGTGCATTAAGGGACTTTTTATGGCTATATTTGCATATACAATACCAAATGTTAGGACCCATTTTTGCCAGCATAGATGCAATCCCTTCAATGGGAATCGACTTCAATGGGCGTCACATCTGTGTTTTTCAGGACAGATGTGGGTCACTGGTGAGTGGCACTAAAAGTTGTGGCACAGGGAATGCACAAGACCTGGTATAATAAAGGTTAGAACAAAATTAAGAGTAGGAAATAAGTTAACTCATTTTTCTATATTGATTCCCTGAAATAGTAACCCAGAAGTTTAGATTGTACAACAAAGGGTGCCCTAGAAATACATTAGACAGGAAAGATTTGACTATAACTTGAGTCTGATCCACAAAGTTTGAGGGTTGGTTCTAGATTCTATTCTATGCAGTGAGATCTAAAAACACTTCCAAAGCACTCTATGTTGCTCTGTTCAATAACAGGTCTAATTCTTCAATGCTCCCTTGGCTTCAGTGCAAGATTTTTTTGCATTAGAACGGCAGTCCAATGAATTGATATTTTTCCCATTTAAAAAAAAAATCATTGGATTGAGTCCACCCTAGATCATGCTCTTTTTGCAAGGCATGGTGAGAATGATGCAGTGAACTAACAAGTGTAGGGACTGTATTCATTTACTTTAGCTTTATTATTTGTAATCACTGGATATTTTCTGTGCTTGTTTTTTTAAAAATAAAGAGAGCCAATACTCTGTGATACATACAATAAAATCAAAATCGATCTCACTAGTTTTGAAGAATGGATTTACAGTCCAATGTGAAATACAGTTGCACCTTTTTTGTATTTTAGAATTTGAGAAATGAAGAACAGGTTGCAATAATCCAAGCTGGGACTGTACTTTCCCTCTGTGAAAAGGTAGATTTCAGTAAAGATTTTTGTTTGCATAAACACTGAGCATACCATCCTAGAACTGGAAGGATGATTTGTCAGTGACGCATGGCCTTTCTGTTAAATTAACATGGATGTGAGCATGGAGGCATCATAACCCACGGCTTTATGGGGATTGTACTTGTGGAGGGCCCGAATATACATTCAAACATTTAAAATATAATTTTAAAAATGAAAACTTCCTCCGGAGATGTTGCCATTAAAACAAAGCTGTAAAATACTTTTGGATAAAGGAAGCCTAATCTGGGAAAAAACCTCAATTCCCAGTGACCTTTTGAGGAATTGAGAGTGCTCAGCACATCACTGGAGGTTCTCAGTGCTTTGCAGGGTTACGATGAAGACCTGCTCTGGGCCCACTTCTCCAAGGTTCTGAAAATCTCCTGGAATGAGCTCAATACCAGCCTCTACAATGGAAGTCAGTAGAAAAAGAAAGTTCTCAGCACCTCACAGGCTCCTTTCGTGTGCCACCTGTGCATTATTTTGTAAGAACACAGGCTGCTAGTTTTTGAAAAATTAGCCTCAATATCTTTGTCTCTCAAGTGGTCTAAAAATACATACTGCCCTTTAACTTCCCACTCTTTCCTTTACCTAACAGTGTGTTAGTGAGAAATTCATTATAACCTTAACTTGCATGATGTTTTACTTCTTGGATCACACAGTTCAAGCACTTTTGAAAATTGCATTCATCTCTTATCTCCCTTCTTGTGCCACATGGGGAAGATAGAATTATGAAAACATGATTCAGTATTTCTGTTGTTAGGGCTTGGTCCTCTCCTGGGACTTCACTGAGCTAGTACAGTGCAGCTGGTTTGTGCCACTGTGTATTAAGTGGAGAGGTTTCTAAAGTCCTTACTAAAGAATATTTATCTCTCGACTAGTATGCCTGGCAGTCTTCACTAGCATAAAAATATAAACAGTCAATTGGTTTTGGAAAATAGCAACTCCAATTCCCCATAGTTTTAAAAACCAGTTGTAAGCCATCAGACAACTGAAATGTAATATAACAAACCGTTTATCATTCAAATAATAGTTTTAGTTCTCAAGCTGAGAATCACTGGTATGATCTCTCTCTCTCTCTCTCTCTCTCTCTCTCTCACACACACACACACACACACACACACACACACACACACACACACACTTGATTTATCCTGCTGCCTTTTCCTTCTCGTGTCATAACTGTCCATGTCATTCAGTAACAGATCTGTGATCAAACAGAACAGATTATTATGATCTCCTGATATTTACAAGTGAAAGAAGGAAGAGATCCAAGAGGGAATAACTTTCTTTTAGTAAATATGATATTCACTGGTTCAACGTTGTCATAGGATATGACCAAAAATATTTTCCACAGGACAGATAAATTAGACAAGTCACCCGCTTCCATGTGACTGTAGAACTTGCTCTCCACTTAGATCATTAGTAGAGCGAACGTAGTAATGACCCAATAATAATTCAATTTAAATTGGCTAGGAAGGAAGTCATTTCCTTTCTACTGAAGAGGCTGCTATATTGCCCCATCCCAATAAGTCTGCCATTGATAGGTTTATATCTAGACCTGCACAGGTCCATTTCTGAACTTCAGAATGGAAGTCTAGCATGAAAACTCCACCATTCAGATTAATTGATTAATGATTCAACCAAATTATTCGTGTAAACAAATAGCTCAGCGGTTTGAGCATTGGCCTGTTAAACTCAGGGTTGTGAGTTCAATCCTTGAGGGGGGCCACTTGGGGATCTGGGGCAAAATCAGTATTTGGTCTTGCTAGTGAAGGCAGGGGGCTGGACTCAATGACCTTTCAGGGTCCCTTCCAATTCTAGGAGATAGGTATATCTCCATATATTATTATTATATTTATTAAAACTGAATAAATCATTACAAATGTTGTAGCTGTCGCTGTGTTACAACAGACAATCATAGATCTTAAACTCTAATGAGAAAAATCAACGGTAAATGGCTAGATCAGTAGACAGAAAAGCAAAATTACACAAGCATTAAGGGCTGGACTGTGCAGTCCTCACTCAAGCTGGTTCATATTAACCATAGTGTCACTGAAATTAATGGGACTATTTGAGAGAGTAAGGGTCATGCAAGCTAGCCCTCTCATATAGAAGCTTAGTGACCTCTTGCAGGTTATTTCCATTAGAGTCCAATCACAGCAATCCTGCCTCTAAGAATAAACTGGGAGTTTGTCAATATGGGAAATCCTTTATAACAATAGAAAAAGAAATTACAAAAGGGGTTTCAAAGTTCTGAAAATAGCAGGTATCTTTTACACCTCCCCTGCAAAAAATCTAGTTTTGGTTACCTCATAGGAACTATTCCTATTGACAGTACTTCTGTCAGTCCTCAGCTGACCAGAGGAGGACTTCTATGGTAGTCTTACTGTTTAATCAGCTTGTTCAAAAAGGAGGAGTGTTTGGTTCTGTCCTTCTAACTAACATACAGGTTGTCTGATTTTAACATGAGAGTCTATCTATGTACTTTTACACCACTGTAGTCTGAGTGCCTCACAATCAATCAATGACTAAAACTCAGTAATGAATTAATCCACATAGCACACCTGTGAGGCAGGGAAGTATTATCCCCATTTTACTGATGGGGAACTGAGGCACGAGGCAGATTAAATTGAACCCAGGTCGCTCCATATCCTATCCACTAGACCGGGGTGGGCAAACTTTTTGGCTCGAGGGCCACATCTGGGTATGGAAATTGTATGGTGGGCCATGAATGCTCACAAAATTGGGGGTTGGTGTGCGAGAGAGGGTGAGGGCTCCAGCTGGGGGTGCGGGCTCTGGGGTGGGGCCAGAAATGAGGAGTTCAGGGTGCGGGAGGGTGCTCTGGGCTGGGACCGAGGGGTTCGGAAGGCAGGAGAGCGATCAGGGCTGGAGCAGGGGGTTAGGGTGTGGGAGGGGATCAGGGGTGCAGGCTCCATGCAGCGCTTACCTCAAGCAGCTCCCAGAATCAGCAGCATGTCCCCACTCTGGCTCCTACACGGAGGCATGGCCAGGCGGCTCTGCGTGCTGCCCTGTCTGCAGGCACTGCCCCTGCAGCTCCCATTGGCCGCAGTTCCCAGCCAATGGGATCTGTGGGGTTAGTGCTTGGTTGGGGGCAGCGTGCGGAACCCCCTGGCTGCCCCTACACATAGGAGTCAGAGGGGGGACATGCTGCTGCTTCCGGGAGCTGCTCAGAGTGGGGCAAGCCCCAGATCTCACTTCCCCGTGGAAGCTTGAGGGCCAGATTAAAACGTCTGGAGGGCAAGATGCGGCCCCTGGGCCGTAGTTTGCCCATCCCTGCACTAGAAAATCCTCCTAATACATGGAGGCAGCAGTAACTCACTGAAGCTTCTGCATGTTAAAATGTATCTGTGGGAAGCATATTACAATCACAGATATCTTGGATTTCAATCACAGAGCCATTTAAATCAGAAATCAGATTTCCCCCCTCCTCTTTACTGTAGAAACAGTTTCCTTCTGATCCTGTCACAAGTGTAGATCATTTGAGTTGCTCTAATTACCAAATCCAACCATTCAGTCCATTGACTCCTTCTTTACCACGTTAATTAGGCAAACACCGCAAATGAAGAATTAAGAGTTCTGGGCCTCCCTGTTAAGGGGCTTTACAGTGAACTGAAAAAGTGCTGCTGAACATGGGGTTTAATGCTTAAATAGGCAAGATGCTGCCTATTGTTCTGATGCTGTTAATTAAGGTCAAAGGTGCAGCATGGTGAATGCTTAGGTGTTACTGATCTCAGGTGCTAGCAGGAAAATGCAGAATTCTGTAGTTAGGTCTTACCAGGTAGTGAGGAAAGAAATGACTATCAGCTATTTAAAAACATATGACATTTTAGTGTGTCTGTATGTGTATATATAGGACAGAGGTGGGTGAGGTAATATGTTTTATTGGCCCAACATCTGTCCTTAAATATCAGTAGACCCCTAAAACACATCACATATCAGCTATTTAAACAAAAGTTAACAAAGATTCATCACTCTCCCCAAAGTTCTTCTACTTAATATTCTAAGTGCCCAACCTTGCTCCTGCTAAAGTCAATGGTGAAGCTCCTACTGACTTCAGTGGGAACTGGCCAGACTGTGTTGTAAGGGAGTCCTGTAATCCAATGAAGAAATGAAATAAAATAAAACCATGAACAAGAATGAGAATTCCCATCCGTCCTGACAACCCATAAAGCTAAATGTTAGCATACGCTTAGCCATCATTAATATTCAAGGCACAAAACTGTAGTTTCCTCTATGTATCGTCTTACAGTTGGAATGCAACGACCATTCTTCTTTTCATTTGGTCACATTTTTTAAAGCATAATAATAAGAGATTGATTGGATGGTAGCCACTGCATGAATTTCTTCACACAGTTCTCCCTACCCATCTTAATCTTCATTTCCAGGGCAGTGCCCAAGGGGGGCAGGGGCAAACAGGGACACAGGGGACACAGGACTCCTCCGGCCGCGGGCCTGCAGTGAGGAGAGCAAGCTCTTCTGGCCCCAGGGCTGCGGTAGGGGCACAGAACGTGCCCCTCCAAACGCGGTCAAATTTAAATTCTTGCACACGCCCCTGTTCACCTTCAAAGCCCCTCTTGTTCTAGTAATGAGCTTGCTCCCAACAAATGCTGTGAATTGTGCCAAATAAAGGATGGATTCTGCAATCCTTCCTCATGCAAATACTCCCACTGGTTTAAGTTACCATAAGAAAGGATTGCAAGGTTGGGCCCTGACACCATATGGTGGGTTTGTGATGTGGACAAATGGGCCTGGGGAGCAGCAAGGATGAAACCATCAACTAATTTTGCTTTCTTGACCCCAGTCACATTTGAACCTAGGCCTTTAGAGGGGGAAGGATCAGCCTCCACTCATAATTAGTCTTCCCAGTTCCCTCTTCCTCATTTCTGTAGTTTGAAAAAGCTGAACAGTTAAAGGGGGTGGGGATGGGTGAAGCATGCAATTGGCACTCTCATCAACAAATTAACTTACATCACTTTCAATGATGCTCTTCCAAATGATGCTGTATTCTCATCTTTTTCTATTCCTCTTGTTCCTGCCATGTTCATATAGTGGCTAAAACAAATAGAGGGAACAGAAGCTGCACTGACACAGAAGATGATGGATCTGGAGAATGAAAAGGTAAGAAATGATCATTTTTAAAAAGTCACTTGCTCAGCTAGAACTCCATTTCAGAGAGAAGTCTGTAAACACGATGACGTGTTAAGTTGTTGCTGTTTTCTTTGTAGTGGGGATGACTGCATGGTGCTGTCAGGAATAGTTTTATAAAACTCTGTTTAATAGCTAATGCCTTTGATGTGTAGAGAAAAAAGTAATTAAACTGAGACTGAAGCATGGCTGTACCTACAAAATACCACACGAACGGGTATAATAAGCAAACGGTATGAAACCTGTCTGTGTGCTTTCTATGTATATTATTTTGTTTGGCAACAGCAGGTTCTTTGGAGTCTTGGAGTCAAATTTCATTAGAATTGCACCAGGGATTAATTTGGCCTATGGTGTGTAATTTCAACTAATGAAGTCCTCTTCCTGCTTCCGCTTTTTTGTCTTAACCTCTCTTCCCTCTCAAGGATGGATGAATTCCAAAGTGCAATTAAGTCTTTCACTGCAAATTTGATATGATACTAAGCTCTCCTTTTGCTGTATGTTGTATGAAGATTTTCTGAATGAATGTTTAGTTTTGTTGATTTATCATGCATGTAGCGCTTTTCATCTTCCAACTGATGTACAAATACTGATTAAACCTTGCCATACATTTTCCTAGTAGATACATCAGGGGTCAGCAACGTTCGGCAAGCGGCTCGCCAGGGTAAGCACCCTAGCAGGCCGGGCCAATTTATTTACCTGCTGACGCGGCAGGTTCGGCCGATCGTGGCCCCCACTGGCCACGGTTCGCCGTCCCGGGCCAATGGGGGAGGCGGGAAGCCGCAGCCAGCACATTCCTCGGCCCGCGCCGCTTCCCGCCGCCCCCATTGGCCTGGGACGGCGAACCGCGGCCAGTGGGGGCCACAATCGGCCGAACCTGCCGCGTCAACAGGTAAATAAACTGGCCCGGCCCGCTAGGGTGCCTACCCTGGCGAGCCGCATGCCGAAGGTTGCCGACCCCTGAGATACATAAACAATATTATCCTTATCTTACAGAAAGGGAGACAGAGGCTGATGGGTGAAGTGACTTTCTTGCCTTTGGCTGTCAGTGCCAAGATTAGAATTTGGCTTTTCTGGCTCATTGTTTGGTGCACTGCCTTTGTGAATGGGGCATGATACCAATAATCATGTAATGCAAGGTGTGGGCCCTTTTATCTGTATTATGCCAAGAATTACTGTATTTGTAACTCTGAGTTGGAAAATGTAAAAAAATAACATATTTTTAGGGGGGAAATGGAAAACACTAGATTGTTTTAAAAAGTAAATTAGAACAAATATGTCGTGTCTCTCTAACTTGACATATACATGTTTTCATTTGCAAGCTGTGGTATCTGTAATTCATGTTCACGTCAAGCTTCTGAGTATTTACGCACCAAGGAACTGTATGTATTTGCTCAGCTCAGCAATCTGTCAGTCTCAAAAGCAACAGTCACATCTTGCCCGGCATAAATTGTGTAATGAATATGAACATTTATTTTCCGGTGAGATTTTTCAGAAGTGCTCAGTATTGGCCTAGCTGCTTCCTTTGGCAGTAGAGTTAGGCCAATGCTGAGTGCTTCTGAAAATCCCACCCTTATTACAATTTCTGACTCCGATTGCTGGTAGTGGCCACCTTGCTTAAATGATGGTGATATCACCTGCGAGTCCGTGTGGTACCATGGCTCGGGCACTAGACTGGGACTTGTTCCTAGCTCTGCCACTGACCTGCTGTGTACCTTTGAGCAAGTCACTTCCCCTCCCTGTGCCTGTTTCCCTTATCACCCTTTCTCCTGTCTATTTAGGTTGCAAGCTCTTTAGGGCAGTGACTGTCTCTTCTTGTATGTTTGTACAGCACACAGTGGGGCCTGGATCTTGCCCCTCCTAGGTGCTGCTGTAATAGAAAAAATAATTAACAATAATTGTGCCATTGCCGTATGAACATTCAGCATCCAAGACTGAAATAAGTTCCCATTCTGCTTTTATATTGGTTCATGGATCATTGAAAGAACTCCAGTGTTTAATAAAGTTTTAAAACATTAAACATTACAGTTTGTTTATGGATTATATCAGAATGAAAATGGCATGGAACCTTGTTCTAGTCTCCCATATTTGACTTCCATGCTGCCATTGTAAAAAACAATGGCTTGTTCCAACAACTGGGGTACTTCCAATAACAAGGAACAATATATATTATAATTAGTTCTTATGCTTACTGACTCTTCAGACTGTCAGATTACTGGGCTGAGCAGTTTTATTTTAAGCCAAATAACATTTCAAATGGGAATTTTGATTTATTACTAATTACTGATTACTAATTACCAAATTGTGTCCCTATGCTTATGTGCACAATTCCCACGGACATTATTGGGCATTGCATTTGAAAGCAAAATTTGGCCCAGTAAATGCAAACAAGACCCAGAGACAATCTGAACATCTTTTCTTATTATTGACATAGGCCAATAATTTCTGTTAGTGATACCATTCTATGTTTTGGAGTGGTTCTGCTACTAAAATAGATGATCCAGAATGGCAAAGCTTTCTGTTTTTAAAAGCCTTTTGTTATACACATACACACACTAGCCCATTTTGTATTTTTAATGAAAGCTAAAAGGCCTTTATCAGAAGGTACATGGATTTATATTTAAACTGCTTTTTGTTCCATATGTTGAGGAAACACAAAAGTTTATCTTTAAATAAAAATGACTATAAATGGTAAGTCTGACCAAATTGCCTTTCTGCTTTCTGGACTATTTGTTTATGGGCACCATCACCACAAAAAGAATGATATAAAGCTAGTATTTTCCAGCCTGATTATGGTGTTTACTTGTGCTCATTAAAAGCTCCAGAGCACTTTTTTCAAGAGCAAGTTTCCTGGCCCCTGTGTACTGGTTAAGTTCTAACTATTTAGAGTCTCATTCTAAGACTCATAGTCTTCCTATAGCTTCAGTTTTGGATATTGAGTTCCATGGAATCCTAATCTGTTCAGCATTTCAGTGACAGCGGATATGATCCATCTATAATATATAGGTGGCCTGTAAAACACCTTGTGCCCAGTTGCTATAGCAATGTACAGGTAAGATATTATTACTGCAGGTTAGTGAGTTTAGTGATTTGAAAAGTATTCAGAAATCCTGAGTTCTAATACTAGCTTCTGCAACTGTGTAGGCAAAGTCCCTTAACCTCTCTGGCCCTCGGTTTACCCATCTCAGATTAGAGTTACCTACCTTTATAGGGGTAGTGTGAGGTTTAGAACCAAAGCTTGCCCTCTGCCAGGCAAGTCTGACAGAAAACCAAAGGGCATAAAGAACCTCTTTTTGTTCTATGCTAGCAGTGGAGCAGGTTCTCTGCCTTGCACTAAGGAGGGGTCCTGGACTCCACATCAAGTAGTCCTCCCATTTCCTAATTCAAATACAATTTGCTGACTAAAGTACATAGCTGCACACTCGGCTAGTTAGTACATAGATTGAGGCCTCCAGCATAAACCCTTGAGGGGCATATATTACTCATTTTCAAAGGAGCAGTGAAGTGCACTTAACAACATGATTTTCTCCCCTCTCTTGGCCTGCCTTGTGTAGATAATGGCTCTTGTACTACATGCATGGTGGACATGCTTCACCCTTCTCTCCCTCCTTTGTGTGTGCCTCTGTCAGATAAAGGCAGGATCTTGCCCTTAAGGTTTATACCGTGTTTTAGAGATCATCAAAGGAAAGGTGCTTTCTAGATACCCATAGTTAATATGATGTTTTTTGTTTGTTAAATACTAATCAATCTAATACTCTAAATATCCTAACAATAAATATGACCCATGGCTTTAGGTTCTCAGTTGCTTTCAGGTGAAAGTGACTGAGAGATTGCATACAAAAAAATGGTGAACTTTAAGATTCCTCATGAGTTAGGATAAAGAACAAACCCTCCATTGTTTTTATTATTGCTCAGGACCTGTTCAGTAAACAGAAGGGTTATTTAGAGGAAGAACTCGACTACAGGAAACAAGCTCTGGACCAGGCTTACATGGTAGGAAAAGAACAGTCATTAAATTTTCATGCTTGATCAGATTTGACAAAATACAAATGAAAAAATTTACATAGGGTTCTTTTTTAAATGATTTTTTGTTCTGCTAGATTAGGAAACCAAAAGTTACTTAAAACAGGAAATGGGTTAAAATGATTGGAATTGTAATGTTTTTTGCATTGCATTTTATTTTAAAATGTGCAAAAGGCAACATTTTTGGTGGTAGAATTGGTTGCCAGAGATAGGCTAACAGTGTGCACAGTGATCATGAGTAAAATATGCAGAAAATGACTATAAAACATTTCAAATGTTATTTTTCCAGCTATTTGTAAATATTTGCCATTAACTTCTCCAAACCCAGAGATGTCTATCCTTTCCATCCTATCTATTCTAACCTCTTATAGACTTCTTAAATAAAGTCCTCTGAATTAGCACATTAGTGCACTCAACTTCATTAGGTGGAGTAAAACCTCAAGAAACAGAAGTATTGTGGCATGAAGAATTGGTTACATATTGTAGGCATTTCAAATTGGAAAAGGATTCTTAGAGAAGCAGTGTGGTCTAGTGTTTAAAGGAGGTAACTGGGAGATTGGGCACCTGGGTTCCATTCTATACTATGTGACCTTGGGCAACCCATTCAGTTTAGTTTACGCATCTGTAAAATGGATACAATTACCTACCTCACAAAGGTGTTGTGAAGTTTAGTGGGTTGCTGCCAGATAGTTTAGATCCAAATAATGTTGTTCTGGATGGTTTTCTTTCATATGATCATACAAAACGTAATTGTAAAAGAAATAAGATGTCTTATTTTAGTCGGTGAATATAGATTTCTGTTTGGATTTTAACATTCTGTGCTGTTCCTCCCAAATATTGCTGCATTTGGTTAGTGCATGAGAAACTGAAAGTAAAATTGACTAGAAACTAACAAGAAACAAAAGATCTATTGGTGTGCCCTAGCCCTCAAGTACCCTGACAGACCAGAAAACACAGGTGTTTCTTTACTTGATGAAATTTCTGATTCTGTGCTTTAACCTTTGATCCCCTTGAGACACAAGTATATGGAATTGCTTATGGCAATTCAGAACAAAGAAAATGAAGGAAACCTGGAATAACCACAGATTAGAACTGTAGGGTCAGAGAAAGAGAAATGAGTGACAGGCTTTTTCTTGACTTGCAGTAAGTTACTATATCACTTGCAGTTCTTCTTTTTGATGCCTTGTAAACAGTTTTATTCCCTGGGCTGATTTAACAATCCAGCTGCAATGAGGGAAAACACTCGTTTGGCACTAACCTTGTAACTCAGAATTGGCAGTGAGGCCCTGTCGTGAATTGAACAAAAACTTGGCATGTGGGAAAATGCTGAATCTTTTGTCTTTCCCAACACATACTGTGAACTCTGGTTAAATTAAACAAATCAATCATTCAATTGAACAGAACACAAGGCCCATGCTGGAAACAGTCTCATAAGAACATGTGCACTGTATATGGAATGCTCTTCACTGCTCACATGAGTGCTGCTTTTCTGCTCTCTAGTTGTGTCCTTCCTCCCTGTTAAGCTTGGCTTGCAAGCATTGTTGTTGTCGTGTTGGTTTGTTTGCCTGCTGTATTCAAACGTGAGCCTGTTTGTGTGTGATTTGGGTTGGCATTAGAAAATCCAGGAGCTGGAAGCCACGCTGTATAACGCTCTGCAGCAGGACTCTGGAAGGCGGGCGAGTGAGTCATTGAATGAAGTGCAGAGGGAGGATTTGCGAGCTGCGGTGGAGAAGGTGCGGAGGCAGATCCTGAGGCAGAGCCGCGAGTTTGATAGCCAGATCTTGCATGAGCGCATGGAGCTGCTGCAGCAGGCACAGCAGGTAACTCACCACTCCTTCCCCCCACATCAGTGTTACACCATTGTCACCACCATCACCAGCACAAGAGTACCACGTCACTGTCACCTTGCCAAGTTATTCCGAGTTTTATGATTTATATTGCTGTCATTCCAGGGAGCCCCAATCAGAATTGGGTCCGCATGGGCACTATACATACACAAAATACAATGGACTGCCCCAGAGAGCTTATAGTCTAAGGCCTCCATCTTGTAAATTGTTCCATGTGGGCAGAGCTATGCTGACTTCAAGGGGGCTCCACGGACAGACGGGGGTCTGCCTGCATTGTAAGAGGGTGGCCTGCACCTTTAAGGGCCAGTGACCCTGTGGCCAGCCAGCCCTGTTTGATTATCTAATCCAGCTGAGACGGGATCAGGTGGATAAAGGGCTGAGAGAATTTAGTCAGCTGAGAGCTGAGGCTGGCTCTTGTGACTGGCCCTGGAACAGGGAGAGATGCAGATTGAAAGGCTTCTGGACCCCCTGCAACCTGGATTGGTCAGGGGAATAACTTGGTATTGTGTTACTTTGTGATTTTATTTGATTAAGTTAATAAACCGTGCCCTGAAGGAAGAGTCTGAAAGAGACTTGGAGGTCATGTTATTCCTTCCTGGGCTGGGGAAGATAGGCCAGCAGCCCTATACGTGGGGGAGGATGTGGGCAGGAAGACCGCTTCTGGAACTGAGAGGAAGATGAGGCAGCATAAGAAAAAGTGGAGGAGAACAGGAAAGCAGTTATAGAAAGGACAGTGGCAGAAGTGATGGCTAGCAGGGTTTGTCTGGTGGATTCCCCCCTTGCTTTTTTAGTAGGATAGGATGGGAGGAGACATCCACCTGTTGACATCACAACAGCCAGCCACAACTCCTGCAGGGTCAACAAAAACAGTTCCTGGAGAAATGGGCTCCAGGGAGTCTTGCTGGTCCTGGAGAGGGCAGCTCAGGTTGCCCTGGCCATGGTAGGTGAAGTTGGGCTCAGAAGATGACCCTGAGGCCTTCCTCTGCACCTTTGAGTGAGTGGCCAGTGCTGCCAGCTGGAAGGAGTCAACTTGGATGGCCAGTGTGGCACCATTTCTGACAGGAGAGGCCCAGGTAGTATACCAAGCCTTGATTGACAAGCTCAGATCTGGAGATAAAAGCTACCCTTTTAGACAGACTGGAACTGACTCGAGGCATATCCTCACCTGTTCCAGACTGAGTCATTTCCATGAGGAATATGTCCATGTGTAGTGGCCCAGTGGTAGTGGAACCTCATCACCCATTGGTTGTGGAGACAATCATGAGCCTGATGGTTCTGAAACAATTCTTGCAGATTCTGCCTGTGGGAGCCTAAAGATGGGTAGGGCATTTTCAGCCATGATCTGTGGGAGAGGTAGTGGACAGAATGGAGGCCAAGGGAGCTGAGCAGCAAGGCAGACCAACAGTACCCACTGGGGAAAGTGAGAATAGGAGCAGGGCCAGCTTTATGACCCGAGGGGCCCGATTGGAATACTCGGCGGCAGTCCGAGGCTTCTCCTCAAGCACTAGAGCAGCCTGAACATGGAGTCACAGACAGTCCCCTTGGGCACTCCGGTCTATCTTGCCACCTAGGCAAGCCTGCCTTTGAGATAGATGGTCCCTTACACCAAAAATCATAACAATATTCAGGTTACTCCGAGTCCCAAAGGACCAGTCACTTACCCCAGATCAATTGTTCCTCAGATCTCAAAGCAAAGACAATGGTTGTAGTCAGTCCTATAATGACAACTAAAGATTTACTAAGAAAAAGAGATAAGAGTTATTTATAAGGTTAAAGCAGGTAAACATACACACACAAATGAGTTACAATCTTAGTTTCCAAAAGGTGATAGTAGCTGCTATATATGCACGCTCTATACATCCTTTAAGGCTAAACCTAACTAAGCAGCTTGAGGATCCCTTGCTTATGCTTTGAAATATTGCCCTTTCTGAATTCCAAGCAACATAGTGATGGTAATTTCTCCTTAGCAGGGATATTTATTCCCTACCCCCAGTGTTCAAGCTGTGATGGGACGAGGGCTTGTGCACGTACCCTCTTCAAAACATGGGGGAAGCAATCAACAAAGTCTTTTAGCCACTGATGTTCCTCAATGCTTTGTCTGGTGTCTATAGGCCTTCTTTTGTTGAGGAGGAGATGACACCTTTTGTGGTAAACTAGTATTTCACACTTGGTAATGCTTCTCTCCTGATCATGGGGGTTTACAGTCTTAGCAAACATTTTTATAGTTAAAGAGCAAACTCTTAAATATTATCTTATAACATGGGATACAGATATTATATGTAAGATTAATACATGCAGCATCCTACACGCATTTCATAAAGTCTAAATACTAAACACATTCTTTTCAACTTAACATCTATTTTAACAATACTAACACAGGCGAGCCAAGCTGGTTTCCAGCTATACATTTGTCCGTGTTCAGTGAGGCCCAGGTGCCGTGGAATGAGCTACAACCCGGTCTGCTAGCATGTCACTCCTAACACCAAACAGGTGCTGGAAGGAGTGTCACCAACACTCCTGAATACACCTCAAGGCCCCACCCCCCTATTTTTGAGAAGGCATCTGCCACTACATTTTCTTTCCCCTGGATATGGATTATTTCCATGTTATACTCTTGCAGAGCTCCATGTTATACTCTAGGCTCCAGCGTAACCATCTGGAATTGGTCTCTTTACTCCCAACTAATATGGTTACAGTGAGCTAGTCTGTTAAAACATCATTTTTTTAATTATACAAATAAAGCTTAAGTTGCTTAACAGCCCAAACAATGGCATAGCAATCACACTCGATGACAGCATAGTTTGTTCAGTGGGCTGGGGGGTGGGGGTGGGAGGTCAGTTTTTTACTCAAGAAGGCAACAGGATGCCTCTTGTCCCCCACCCCAATGTTAGAAGCATGAGTGCACAGCACAAAGGGTTTGCTGAAATCAGGGCTAGCTAAAACTGGCTCTTTAGACAAAGCATCTTTTATGTCCTAGAAGCTTTTCTCACAGGCCTGGGTCCATACCACCTGGTCTGGCTTCCTCTTTTTTGTAAGCCCTGTTATGGGTGCTACCATATCATTAAACCCTTTACAATTCTCCGGTAATGGTTGGCCAGACCAATAAAGGATAGGGTCTGCTTCTTGGTTTGTGGGCCACACCAATTCTGAATAGCTTCTACTTTTAAAGGATCAGGGTGAACAAACCCCCATGAGCCCTAAATAAGATACCTCTGCACTCCCCATCTTGCTTTTGGAGACCTTACCAGTGACGTTGGTGTCTTTAAGCCTCTGCTATACAATCCCCACATGATTCAGGTGGTCTTGGCAAGAGTCACTAAAAATAGCCAAGTTGTCTACATAGGCCCCGGCAAAGGTCTGTAATCCCTGCAGTACTTCATTGACAAGCCTCTGAAAGGTAGCCCTCGCATTAATTAATCCAAAAGGCGTAACCTTAAACTCATATAGGCCAAGTTCCACTATAAAAACTGATTTTTCCTGGGCCTCAGCATCTAAGGGAATTTGCCAATTCCCTTGAGTCAAATCTGGCGTGCTTATGAATTTTGTCCCACCCAATAAGTCCAGTTGGTCCTCTGTCCAGGGTGTGGGGTAAGGGTTAAATTGGGTGATAACATTTAACCTCCTAAAATCCACAGAAAATCTCAGAAAGGGTTTTATCCTTTTTAGGTACCATCACAATAATAGATGCCCAGGGGCTTTTTTACCCCCTCCCCCATATACAGTATGCTTTCCACATCTTCCTGGATCTGCTTTTGCATTTCTTCTTTAGCACTAGCCTGAAAACTGGAGTATAAAATAATACTTTAGTACCTCACCAGGACACACTTTTTTACTTGTGAGAGCTTCTCGGTGCAACAAAGCTTCTAGAAAAAAAATCTACCCTTCCCTTCCCTAGCCAGGGTATTATTCTGAGCTGCATTTCTCTTCTTGTCCAGGAAAGGGTCAGCCTGTTGAGCCTCAATAAACTCCTTTTGAGTCTCCCTGACGTTGAGAGCAGATTCTGTCAAAGCAGTGGAATTTTCGAACTCTTCCTCTGAGGACAAACTGCTACCTTCTGCTGACAAAGGAGTGAGGGTATTTCCCACCTCTCATAGCCCTCCTTGCTGCCCACAGACAAAACGGGTGAGGCAGCACTATATTTTTTCTGGCTGCAAGCTACGACATTAACCTGCTTAGACATGGTTAAAATATCATTGTCTATTAAAATATCAGCAGGTAGCAAATTCCTAATGCCTACAACAACATTTCTCTTAATATCCTCCCACTTGATGTGGATCTTAGCCAGAGGTACAGTTACAGAGAATTCAGCCAAGGCTAATATATTTAAATTCTTACCAGGGAGTTTGTTTTCCTCCCTTACCAAACTTTCCTTTACTCGGGACGCCATGTCCTGCCAGCCCTTACAATCTGTGCTCTTTACCTCCGCATTCTTAATAAATTCTTCACTTCCTTCCCAAGGCTCCGTCCTAATACAGTTGGGCCTTTCACCTCTTCTGCTAATTTGGTTTTATATGTCCAGGAGCCCCACAGTGATGACCGATGACCTGCCTTCCCTTAGTGCAGGGGGTTTTAAAACCTGGACTTGCATTTTTTAAAATCAAAGTTGAGGACAGGTTTATTTCCAGATCCCTCCTCCCTCTGAACCTGAGGCACAGGGGTTTTTTCCTTCCCCTGGGATTTGTGCCCCCCATGAGCCCTTGATTCAACAATTTCTTTAGCCTCCAAAAGTGTGGAAGGTTTTTTATTTTATTTTATTTTTGTCACAGATGGCTGCCTTTAGCTTGTCTGTAACTACCCATAACAATTGTTCCTAGGCCATCAGATCAAACAGTTTTTCATAGTCACCTTCAGCCCCTGTCACCGTTATCTATTTTCTTATAAAATTACACATTTTGTACATATTCAACATATGTGAAATTGTCAAACATTTTAACATTTCTATACTTCAGCAGGACTCAGGGGTAATCTTAAAC